AAATTTGAACTCCAGAAAATAGTGATAGATAATGATTATTATAGGACTCAAATATCGGTATACTTTTTTTCTAGTTGAGAGAATTAATATAACTATACTAAATAGGAAAAATAATTTTATCGGCCAATTCATAGCACAACAAATATTTTATGGCCTTAAGTGGAGAAAACCGCAATAAAGAAGAAAGTGTAATAGAACCTGCATTTAACTATACATATATGCGTATAAAACTTGCATTACTTTAAAAATAATAACTCCCAGAAGTGTCATAAACTTATATTTAATAGCCAGTGGTGTAAATGGCCATAAAGTGCATTTAAAGTCTGTTCAGCGTAGGTGAAGATTGAAGGTAAAGTAAAAGATTAGTACCTACATTCAATTCCGATGAAATTTATCATGTCTGTTAATTATCAAATGATTTATTATGGCAAATATTCTGTAGGATGAATTTTGCTTCAACATTCAAAGATTATTTGCAAATTTTTAAAAATTTCAAAAACTGGGTCATTTGCTACAGCTTTCCTGTGACTCTCTAAAAAGGTGACGTTTTAATTTTAGATTTAATAATTTGGGAGATATCACGCGCAAAAATTATGGAAAAATATTTTTTAACTGTTTGGCAAACCCTTGTGCATAGTGTAGCACAGCGCTGTCCAACTTATCATAGCCCGCGCGCCATATTTTCTTCACCAAACATTTCGGGGGCCAAGAAAATTTATAAATGTAGTTAGTTTATGTTAATTAAAAAAATAGTTAGTTATACTAAAGATAAAACTCTAAAATATTCGTAATTTATTAATGATAACATTGTGGCCGTAATTGTTTAGTAACAATATCAATAATATTAATTTAATTACGTAAATTTATTCATAATAAAATGTACTCGCGGGCCGTAAAAATTATTTGGCGGGCCGCCAGTTGGACAGCCCTGATGTAGCATATAAATAAATTTCACTATTTAGCTCTTTATAAGACGTTTCCTTAGAAAAATTCCATGACAGGCAAACTAATGTACGAGCAGTCTTATTAATCGGGATCGCATTTTTCGTTTTGTGCCAGAAAATCTTAATAAAACGCAAAATCATTTAAACAATAATTTTAGGTATAGGTCGCGCAAATTGTTAGCCGATAATTACTTATGAAAAGATCACGAAAGCAGGAAAGTATTTACTTAAATTAAGTAAATATTAAGATGTTGTTTCAGGACGAAATAGTCTGCTGCGGAATTTTGTATTTTTAATCTTCCGTGTTACATGCTTTTTCGTATTATTCTTAGTGGATGACGGTTCCCACATCTTCTTTACTTTGCTATTCCCATATCAATTATCTTGGTAGGGCTCGTCAACAACTTTTCGTATTAGCTCGTTGGTCATTTCTTGTTGATTTAACAACACTTCGGAAATCTTATCATAGTAATGATTAATTTATAATTATGTAATAATGTTCTTCGGGTCTTCTATTTTTGCAAACTTAAGATTTGTTGTACCTTTATACAAAATAGCTCAACTGATCCTGGAAACAAAATATCATTTTATCGAGTTCCCTTTTCATAAATTCCACTGTCGACATGTTAAAGCTCTTTTTTTCGCAATATAATAATAATAGTTGTAATCATGTTTAATATTTATATACATACATCCATAAATATAATTGGATCCCAGTAGCAACTCCTATTAAGAAACCGGATAACAATTCGTCCCTCAATAAGCCCAAATCGCCCAACGGTTTACTTAGCGGCTAGTTTGGGGTACTAATTTGACCCTGCCCGATGATACAACTTAATAAGATCTTTCACTAATTTTCTCATCATCTGTCTTCATCATTAATACTCATTCATGTAGGACCAGTACTCGGTGTTGGACATTGGTACCTTCTTAGGTCCTACATAATATGTGACAAACCGATTATTCCAGGTATTCGTATCTTTGGCGTGCCTAGCTGCATTCGCAAATGCCAGTGGCGTAGTAAATGTATATGGTGCCTACGATGATGGCCAGTGGCATGGAGAAGGCCTTTGGGAAAGCCAAGATCACGAATCCTTAGCTGCCCGCGCCTACGCTTACGGCGTAGCTGCTCCAGCTGTCCCGTACGCTGCTCCAGCTGTTCCATACGCTGCTCATGTAGCCGCTCCAGTACCANCAATTGTGGCGTGTCCATGACCATGAGCAAGAAGAGGGGCAGCAATTATACCATGGGCTTCATGATCGCCGTACCATTGACTTTCTAAAAGTCCTTCGCCGCGCCATTGACCGTCATCATGACCGTGGTGTCCCAAAAGGATACCAGCATTGGCAAATGTTGTCAAGCAAATTAAAGATACGACAATCTATAATATAATTATATTATTGTGAATATAATAATTAATTGTTCAAATGTATTCTTTTTAATACATGATATAATAAAACTATTTTAATAATTTAACGAATAAATGTTTGTTTTAGTTTCAATTTTTCATTGCACATTACATGAACTAAATAGATAGTATTTAATGCAAGTACTTACCATGAATTTCATTTTGCTGGTGCTAGAGCTGGTTAATCAATTATCTGATGTCTGTTGTAATTCGACTGTGATTTTTATATTTAATGTTGACCTTCGACCGAGACGAGATTACCACTTGCAATAGAGGGGTAAGAAATTAGTTTTAAATTTGAAAGTCTAAACCTGTTCGACTTACCTACGCATCCATGATTTAATGTTTACTTATTAATGCATTTAATTACATCTATTACGAAAAGTTGTTTACGGGTTTATAAAAAAAAAAGTTCGCTGGAGAATACTCAGTTTAAGACTTTCACATATACATTCATTTCTTAGTTATCAGTTAGACGTCGGCATGTAAAGCTTGTGCACATTCACATGGTTTATTTTTAAAAATGAAATGAAGTCTAATGTCTGTATAATTACTCAATCAGAAATAAAGATAAACAAAATGACCAAATAAAAATTTCATTTCGCTTAGTCCTACATGATTTAGTTGGAATGGTTTTAGAAAATGATTCTCTATACGTATTAAGGTTCAAAGTCGTTGCAATAGTGTGTATTTTGCCTTATACAGCAGAACTTCTAAATATCGAACATTGAGGGAGACGCCAAAAACTTCGAATTTTCGACTTATGGAGGATTTTGATTCGACTTGTGTAGGTTAGGATTTGGTGTACTTACATTATCGGTAATTTTTAAAGGCGATAACTTAGTTTTCTTCGAACTGTAGACATAATAAGTTTTAAATTATCGAATTGCAAATGTTATAAAATAAAACATTGCTATGTTCGAGATCATCGTCATCATCATATAGTCGTCAGTCCTAAGATACAGAGGTTTAATTTGTATTTTCGAGTGGTAGACGAAAAATATGTACCAATATAGCTTGCAGGGACTCACTGATTATTTCGACTTCTAGAGGGTTGAGATCTCCAGTAGTGGAGGTTTTAGTGCTTGAATGAAAGGGAATAAAACGTTTTTTCGAGTTTTGGAGGTGTTCAGCTTATTGAGGTTTGATTTAAGGAGATTTTACTGTATATATAAAGAAAGCTATCAAAAATGTAGCAAATCTTTTAGTACGTTTTGATGAGAAGTTTCCAGTGAAATTATTGCAACTACTCTCATTGCATTAGTTTGGTTGAAAAGTATGCTGTAATGCACTAATAATATTACGAAGAGGCAATATGGGCGTAATATCGAATTTTAGGCAGATATAGCCATTTACTGGTGTTTGCTGCTATTTGAATTTACGACATAGCCTATATTACGGGACAGGGATGCTAATGAAATTAATAATATTGAAATAAAACAAATGTAAGTTTTAGCAATAAAAATATAATAAAACAAATCGACAATTGTTTCGATCTATTCGGTAATTTTCTAGAGTACAGCAATATGTTACATATTTCTGTACTCTTGAAGGTTGGTCGAGACAACTGCCGAGTTGTTTTATTATATTTTTATTGTTGATATTCTCTTGTGTTTTATTTAATTATTAAANCTATTTAGCTCTTTATAAGACGTTTCCTTAGAAAAATTCCATGACAGGCAAACTAATGTACGAGCAGTCTTATTAATCGGGATCGCATTTTTCGTTTTGTGCCAGAAAATCTTAATAAAACGCAAAATCATTTAAACAATAATTTTAGGTATAGGTCGCGCAAATTGTTAGCCGATAATTACTTATGAAAAGATCACGAAAGCAGGAAAGTATTTACTTAAATTAAGTAAATATTAAGATGTTGTTTCAGGACGAAATAGTCTGCTGCGGAATTTTGTATTTTTAATCTTCCGTGTTACATGCTTTTTCGTATTATTCTTAGTGGATGACGGTTCCCACATCTTCTTTACTTTGCTATTCCCATATCAATTATCTTGGTAGGGCTCGTCAACAACTTTTCGTATTAGCTCGTTGGTCATTTCTTGTTGATTTAACAACACTTCGGAAATCTTATCATAGTAATGATTAATTTATAATTATGTAATAATGTTCTTCGGGTCTTCTATTTTTGCAAACTTAAGATTTGTTGTACCTTTATACAAAATAGCTCAACTGTTCCTGGAAACAAAATATCATTTTATCGAGTTCCCTTTTCATAAATTCCACTGTCGACATGTTAAAGCTCTTTTTTTCGCAATATAATAATAATAGTTGTAATCATGTTTAATATTTATATTATTTTCTAACATACATCCATAAATATAATTGGATCCCAGTAGCAACTCCTATTAAGAAACCGGATAACAATTCGTCCCTCAATAAGCCCAAATCGCCCAACGGTTTACTTAGCGGCTAGTTTGGGGTACTAATTTGACCCTGCCCGATGATACAACTTAATAAGATCTTTCACTAATTTTCTCATCATCTGTCTTCATCATTAATACTCATTCATGTAGGACCAGTACTCGGTGTTGGACATTGGTACCTTCTTAGGTCCTACATAATATGTGACAAACCGATTATTCCAGGTATTCGTATCTTTGGCGTGCCTAGCTGCATTCGCAAATGCCAGTGGCGTAGTAAATGTATATGGTGCCTACGATGATGGCCAGTGGCATGGAGAAGGCCTTTGGGAAAGCCAAGATCACGAATCCTTAGCTGCCCGCGCCTACGCTTACGGCGTAGCTGCTCCAGCTGTCCCGTACGCTGCTCCAGCTGTTCCATACGCTGCTCATGTAGCCGCTCCAGTACCATGGCCAGCGGCACGTGCTCTTCCTGTACCTGTGCCTCATGCTGTACCTGTACCTCATGCCGTACCTGCAGCCTACTCTGTGCCTGTTGCTGCACCAGCAGTACCTGTCGTTCATGGTTACTCAGCTTCCATTTCTGGACCCTCAGGACACATAGGTGCTCTTAGCTAAACTGTAAGATACGGAATTACCTAGGCCATGATCAGGATATAATTTTACACCAAAAGAAATGTACACTTGTCAATATAATATTATAAGTATAGCGAGCATATTTGAAAGTAAAAATGTTTTTATTTCATTTTCTTCGGCTCCATTAGGGTTATTTCGCGCAGAATCAATCAGATTGACTTAATGCTTTAATTTTAAGTTACCTATTGACAGCTTGACGCAGCTAATATAAAAATTGAGTATAAAATACTAAAAAAGTATAGAGATAATATAATTAAACAAAGACAGAGGGAAAGAAAGGGGTCCCACTATTTTTCATCTCACGACTCATCACAGTTTATAGGACAATGAAATTTGACTACTCTAACTATACAAAAAAATCAATTAAAGTACTGTGGATATTGACGAAATAATAAACACTCAAATACCCGAGAATTCAACGAAGCGTGTACAAAACCGAAATCTGAAAATCTTGAACTAATCTTTGCATTTCCCTAAAACTATATCCCTAACTATTTGCTAATCTAATCTAGGCCTACCTCTACCCCTCCTAAATCCAATTTCTGCCTCTAATATGTCTCTGACTAAGACCTTCATGCCTGAGAAGGTGTCCTACCAACCTATTTCGTCTATTTCTTATTGACTTCCGTAGACTTCTCTGTTCTCCTATTCTTTCTAATATCTCTTCCATTTTTGACCTTCTCTATCGACGGTGTCCTCATTATTCGCCTGTAACACTACATTTCGAAAGCTTCTAACCTTTTTTTTTCCGCAGCGCCCACCGTCCATGTTTCGCACCCGTACAGCGCTGCACTCCAAACATACACCTTTACCAATCGTTTCGAATTTTTATATTAACCGTTCGAAAGCGTAAAAGTGATTTCTTTTTATTGAAGGCGGCTCGACCCTCCGATATCCTTTGCTTTGTATCCCTACTACTCCTTCCCTCATGACTTACTCTATATCCTATAAACAGTTGCTTCTGATTTTTCGTCTCCTATCTTTATATTCGCTCTTTCTCTACTTTTACAAAGCTAATATGACACAATAGAAACCATTGGTTACTGGTAAAAGGTGCACTGAATAACAAGCACGCATATTTATTTATATTTTTTAGTAATACTGACTACGTCGGTTTTTCGCATTAGACATTAGAAATCGCAATTAATGACAATTTCCATAAAAGCCGTTCAAATTCGATGAAAATGTTTTCTCATCAATCTACTCCCTCATAGATCACATTCCCTGCTATTAACGAAAATATAAACAATGCTTTGGTTTTATTAATTTTTGAAATTTATTATAACATTCCATTTCTTATACTCATTTCAATTTTCTGTTTTAATAATAAAGCAAAGCCTTTGAAGCATAGAAGGAAGTTTATTAAATATTTAAAAACGTCAAATTTACTTTTCCCAAATTTTATTTATTCTTTTAAATGAAAAGCATAAAAATAGTATTTGACTCGAAATCAGTGTTGATTCTTAAAGTTGAAATTAACTTTAAAAACAGCCAAAGCCAATGTGAAAAGGGAAACTGTTAAAAGCTTTTCGACGAAGTGTCTTCTCCACTCTTTACTCTGAAAGGCTTTTAGTTGGAAGAATTATTAGACTGTGAGTGAGGTTATTCTTGAANCATGGTTTCTTTTTAAAAATGAAATGAAGTCTAATGTATGTATAGTTACTCAATCAGAAATAAAGATAAACAAAATGACACTTCAAATAAAAATTTCATTTCGCTTAGTCCTGCATGATTTAGTTGGAATGGTTTTAGAAAATGATTCCCTAAAGACTATACGTATTAAGGTTCAAAGTTGGTTGCAATAGTGTGTCTTTTTTCTTATACAGTAGAACCTCTAAAACTTGAACATTGAGGGAGACGCCAAAAATTTCGAGATTTAGAATTTTCGACTTATGGAGGATTTTGATTCGACTTGTACGGTTTAAGATTTGGTGTACTTACATTGTCGGTAATTTTTAATGTCGCTAACTTAGCTTTCTTCGAACTGAAGGCATAGTAAGTTTTAAATTGTCGAGTTGTAAAAGTTAATAATAAAACATTGCTATGTTCGAGATCATCGTCATCATCATAAAGTCGTCAGTTCTAAGATACAGAGGTTTAATTTGTATTTTCGAGTTGTAGAGGGAAAATATGTCCCAAATGGGTTGTGGGACTCACTGATTATTTCGATTACTAGAGGCTTGAGATTTCACGTAATGGAGGTTTTAGTGCTTGAAGGGAAGGGAACAAAACATTTTTTCAAGTTTTGGAGGTGTTCGACTTGTCGAGGTTCGATTTAAGGAGATTTTGCTGTTTTTATAAAAAAAGCAATCAAAAATACAGTAAATCTTTTAGTACGTTTTGATGGTAAGTTTTCAGTGAAATTATTGCAACTACCTTCATTGCATAAGTTTGGTTGAAAAGTATGTGGTAATGCACTAATAATATTACGAAGAGGCAATATGGGCGTAATATCGAATTTTAGACAGACATAGCCATTTACTTGTGTTTGCTGCTATTTGAATTTACGGAATAGCCTATATTACGGGACAGGGATGCTAATCAAATCAATAATATTGAAATAAAACAAAAGTAAGTTTTAGCAATAAAAATATAATAAAACAAATCGACAATTGTTTCGATCTATTCGGTAATTTTCTATGTAGAGTACAGCAATATGTTACATATTTCTGTACTCTTGAAGGTTGGTCGAGACAACTGCCGAGTTGTTTTATTATATTTTTATTGTTGATATTCTCTTGTGTTTTATTTAATTATTAAATATGTTTCTTCGCATATACATCTACAATAGTCTTAACAAATTAATGCGATTTTACAACGTTGGGTCAACCAGTTAAGCGTATTCTCGTAAGCCCTAATGATGATGAAGATGGACGGCATGTGGTACAACGTGGGCGGAGTGAAGAAGGACGGCTCCGTGGCTGTGACCGCCGGCGACGATACCATGGGCAGAAGGTGCGATAAGATGAGCACCGTGGTGAGCAGGTCCTACAACTGCTCCATGAGCAGAAGGTGCAATAAGGTGAGCACCGTGGTGAACGGGTCCTACAACTGCTCCGTGAGAAGAAGGTCCGATAAGTTTGGCTCCGTGGTGAACAGGTCCTACTACTGTACCATGGCTAGAAGGGCCAACAAGGGTTGCACCATGGTCTACAGGTCCTACTACTGAACCGTGGTGGGAAGGGCCAACAAGGGTTGCACCATGGTCAACAGGTCCTACTACTGAACCATGGTGGGATGGACCAACGAGAATATGCAGAAGGAAATGAGTCGCTAGTATTCAGTAATTTTTTCTTCTTCAATGTTGTTATTAATTAGATGTGCTTCTAAATTTTTCGGAAAGATAAGTACTTACTCTAAGAAACAAGGAGCAAACTTTAAAAGAAATTAAACTTAAAAGTGCATACAAGTGAACAAATTGGAATGCACTTCAGTAAATACAATCTTTCCCGAAACAATAAATATGGAGGTTAATGTTAGTTTTGGCTAAAGATAAGTTGGAAAAGGGTAATTGTGCCTTTAGTAAAATGAAAATTAAAATAAGTAATAAACAATAATGAGAATACAAATGATCAAAGTAAGAAGTTGATTATTTACAATGAACAAATAGATATAATGCAATTAACCAACACTCAAATTAATTATTTTAACTTTAATTTAATGTTCAGATCTTATATCAATTTATTGTTGGAAACTACGGATAACATTGTATTTACATTAGTATTTGTTCACCTATAGATACGTATACACTTAAACTTAGTGCAACTATTATAATTTTATATATTCTTGAAGATGTCGTAATAGACGAAACTAGAATATA